AAAAAAAACAAAAAAGATAAACAAAAAAAGAAAATCAAGAACAAGCTGTCACTCGACCGAATTTGCTGCACGCATTAGTTTGTTTATTGGAGAGTTTAGCCCAACATTGGTGTTAGCACGATTTGGCATATAGGCACTATAAACTCGCGCATTTATCCGCGGCACCCTCACATTCAATTGAGCTAGTATTTCCGATGCAACTAGCACACCCGACATCACACCGCGCACAAACCTCGCAGACAACAATCTTCTACGGTCCTCAAGGCTCTGGAGGCCATATCGTTGTAGCAGATTTATATAGTTTAGTTCTCCTCTAGGTGGATAATACCCAGAATCGAGGTAGTGGATAAACCTAATGAACTTCCTCTGTACTTTCTCGATGGTGGCAATGTGCGTTAAATAAGATGGGGTCCACACAATGCAGCAATATTCAAGTTTACTCCGTACCAGCGTAGAATAAAGATCTATTATTGTTTTTAAATTCGTAAACTCCAACGTAGTTCTAGTGATAAACCCCAACGTTCTGAGGGCACCAACCGATGTTCTGTCGATATGTTCATTGAAGGACAAAGTTATCAAATTAAAGTCTAAACTATCTACAATGCATATCAATAGCTTTGATTATGAAACTATTTACGATAAATAATAAATAAAAATCTGTAAATTTAAAATTGAAAAAATTCAGAAAATTACTTTGACTTTATTTATAGATACAAAGTCATTTAGATACAAATATCATACAAATCAGCATCTTTATTTACAGATAAAAAATCATTACTTACAAACATTGCATAATTGCAATATATACGTTTGATTACAAAAAGATTGCGATAAATAATAAATAGAAAACCTACAATTTTCTTCTGAAGCATAATTTGCATCCTTTATGACCAATCCCAAAATTACCATTTAACTCAAATTTCTTAGAGAAAGTATGGAATATCATGTAGATATTTAAGTTTTAAAGGTTATTAATAAACGAAATAAAATAACAATTTTAAAACACTGTTCATAGCTGTATATTTTTCCATAAATCAATATTTCAATTTCATATACAATTTTGCAAATTTTTTTATAATTTCATACTACTTTTATTAAAGTTTAAAAAGAATACTTTTGTAACCTTTGCAGAAACTAACAGAAATTGAAATGTCTAATTTATTTTGTATATAAATTGATAAAGGTTATCAGGATCATTTTTGATACGTGTACAAACAACTTTGTCTCGTTAACTTTGTAGTTGAAATTTTTAACTTTAAATGAATAGACTAAATATAATTTTTAAGTAATTGGTTTACACCAACTTTTTTAATTTTTCACCGATGTTGAACAAATTTGTAATTTTGTGATAACAAAATATATTTTTTAAACTTAATCCAATGACAACCAAGAAACAAATAAGCATAGTCTCCTTTATAAACGTGCCTGATTAATTCCTACTCACCTGTTATTGTAGTGAAACTGGTTACGGTGATAATCAGCATGTAGAACGGCATACTACCCATGCTTGGTTCGCAAAAATCTGTCGAGATCTATAACAAAATTCAAAAAAATCAAAAATGAATACAGACATAGTTACCCAAATTTAAAAATACTAGACTTTTCGCGTTAAGTAGGCGACGAACGAGATGTCACTTGGGAATTCCAAGATGTGAAAACTTACTATCGGTTTTAATTATAATACTTTTCTTATCCTACGTACGAGGACAAGGTTATCAATTCATGACATAGTAGTGACTTTATTTATGGATATTCAGTTAAAGAATATTAAGTCATAATTTTTATACAATATTAATAAGATAATGATCAAAACTACAGATTTCTTATTTATTATTTATCGCAATATTTTTATAATCAAACCTACTGATTAATATGCATTGTCTAAAAGTAGAAATTAAATAAAATAACAGTGTCTTCTGCTTGTACTTTTATTACAAAATGGATTATTTGTTTTTAATTCTACCGGTTTCGGTTCAATAGTAGAACCATCCTCAAGACCCTCGAATTACGTCAGTTTATTTTTAAAAAATCTCTTTCGATAGTTAACATGTTACAAATTTTTCTTCAATTCACAAGAACTTGTGTTTTTTACTTGTGTTTGTTACTTGTTTTTCATTCTTGTTTGAACAAGAATGAAGAAATAATAAAGAAATCATACAGAAATGAAAAGAAGAGTTTAAACATTACATGGCGATCCTGCCAGTTCAATTATAAATTGGCATTAGAAAAAAAAAA